GAGCCACAAGCTGCGCGACGACTACCTCCCGAACCCTCCACACCTGCACCCCCAGAGTCCACAAACGGCGGCAGCGACGACAGCGGCGGCGGCGGCGGCGGCTGCAGCGACGGCTGCGACGGCGGCGGCGGCGAAGACGACGGCTGCAACGGCGGCGGCGGTGGAGACGACGGCAGCAGTAGCCGCGGCGACGGCGGCTGCGGAGGCGGTGGAGGAGGAGACACCGGGGGAGGGACAGACGGCGAGGATTGCGCCAAAGGACTACCAGAGTCAGAAGACTCGTCGACCGGAACGACCGACGGGAGGGGGGTGACGTGAGACACACCAGAGGGGGCCGGACGGGGGGGCGGGGGGGGGGAGGGGCAGGGGCCACTAGGGAGGGAGGAACCAGGAACAGGGGGGGAGTAACCGGGAGACCACGGTGGGGAAAGCGGCGGTAGAAGGAGACGGACTCGTCAAAGGTGACGTCGCGAGAGTGAAAGAAACGGTGAGACGGCGGGTGGTAGAAGTGCCAGTCGGACGCGTCAAGGGGGAAACCGAGAAAGACGCAGGGGAGGGTGTGGGCAGTGAGCTTGTCCGTGCCAGAGGCACGAACGTGAGCAAGGCAGCCCCAGACGTGGAACGCAGACGCGTCACCAGGGGACCCGGTCCACAGAAGGGTCGGCGAAACCTGCGTCCGCTGGGGGTGCGGCCACAGGTTAAGCTGGTGAGCGGCGTAGCGCACGGCGAACGGCCACAGAAAATGGGGTGCACCGGCGTGGATCATGGAGGTGCGAGCCACCTCCATGACCAAACCGATGCGTCGCTCAGCGACCCCATTCTGCTGCGGGGAGTCCGGCAGGGTAAACGTCTGGGTGATGCCCTCCGCACGACAGAAGCGACCAAGGACACCTGAGGCGAACTCGCCACCCCGGTCGGAGTGGAGGCGCAAGGCAGGGAGACCGCGGTGGAGACGAGCAGAGACAAGCCAGGGGATGAGAACGTCAGGCACGTCGGCCTTCCGCTCCAGGGGAAAGACGGTGGTGTAACGTGTGAAGTCGTCGACAAGCACTAGGAAGAAGCGCTCGCGACGCGGCCCATGGACCGGGGCTGGGCCCCAGACGTCCATGTGCAGAGTCTGCAGGGGTGCGGTGGTAGGGGGAAAAGAGGAGGAGTGAGGGGCACGGCGGAGCCGGCCCTCGACACAAGGCGTGCACGGTGGGGCGGGGGAGGAGGGAAACTCAGGGAACGAACCGGGGAGACCAAGGACGAGACCGTGCTGGGACATGTGACGCAGACGCGGGAGTGCAGGGTGACCAAGGCGGTGGTGCCAAAGGAGAGTCGGATGAGTGAGGGACCGACAGGAGCACGCAGCAGCAACCTGGGTGGACGCAGCTACCTGGGGGGAAGACCCAGCCGGGGACGTCGCGGTGTCAAGTGTGAACAGGCCGGACACCGGGTCCCGGGGGAAAGTGGTAAGGGGGGCACCAATGGCGGCCTCGGTACAGACAGCATACCGCTCGTGACCAGGGAACGTAGTGGTGACGCCAAGGTCCTGGAGGCAGCCGACACCAGCTAGGTTCCTGGAGAACGAGGGGATATGCAGACCGGTGAGCGAACCTGAAGGAACCGCCGGACAGGGAAGGGAGGTGGAACTGCGGGCAACGACGGGACCACCGGAGGGGTCAGCAAGAGTAACTGCAGCGGGAACAGGCAGCGGCGTCAGCGTCGTGGAGTCGCGGAAGAAACACCGAGAGGCGCCAGAGTCCAAGGTGAAGGAAAGCGCAGCAGTCGCGCGGGGCGACAGTGAAGCGGTGGAAGCACCGAGGCTAAGCAAAGCAGGAGATCCTACGCCTGACGCAGCAGGGGAGTCTACGCTAGGCACAGCTACACTAGGCAACACGGGGTAATAAGAGGGAAGCACACTAGAGTCATCGGCATACATCACATGCAAGGCTGCTACAATGGCATCCATGTCCAAGTCAAAAATCCGAATGCTACGCCTAAGCAAGCTGTGCCAGTCCGGGAGGTCGGGCGCCGGGCCAAAGCGCTGGCGGAACAGGTCATCCAGACGACGAAAACAGCGAGGAGTGGAATGACCGATCTTACCGCAAACGAAGCCGCGGCGAGGACCGGTCTGGATCTGGTACTGACAGGGCCCGCCTCCAGAACCACCACCCGGTGCACCTCCACGCGCACGACCACCACCAGCTCCAGGCCACCCAGGCGGGAGAGCACTCGCCGGCCTCGTCTGCGGCGGCTGCTGCGGCTGCTGCGGAGGCTGCGGCTACGGCGACTGCTGCTGCTGCGGCTGCTGCAACGGTGGAGGCAGCAGGGCAGCTGGACCGGGCAGGGTCCCCACGTCCGCACCGGCACCGGACGACCCGCCTCCACCACTACCCCCACCCGCACCCCCGCCGCCTCCGCCGCTCCCAACCTTGGGGCGGCGGCCCTTCGCCGAGCGGGACTGCACTGCAGCAGCAGTCTCAGCCACAGCGACAGAGCCGTCGGAGAAGGTACACTGAGCGGGGGCACAACCCTGAAAGATAGGGACCGGTACTGTACCGCTCGCCTGGGCTATGGAGCGGTGACGAGTCTCGATGGCAGTCAGGGTGTCAACAAAGTCGGTGAGGGTGAGAGCAGTAGGGTGGATGCTAAGGAACTGGTCGCGGGCGGCGGCAAGGCGGTCAGGGAGGCGGGTGGCAAGGAGGTAGAGGGTAGAGGTCATGGGAGGCTGGTGGACTCTAAGCTGTGCATCAGTGCAGGCAGCGCGCCAGGCCTCATCTATCGAGCGCAGGTGGGCAACGAGGTCAGAGACAGTGGGGAAGGACGCCAGGTCAGGAAAGAGCAGGGGGAGGATCAGGCGACCCACTGAGGCAGCAGGAGGGGTAGAATAGCGCTTGATGACAGCATCGAGGTAGGCCTGGGCGGTAGTAATGGTTCTAAAGCGAGGGCGCTCAAGGGGGGGGAGGGCATTGCTAATGGCGAGCTGAGCAAGGGCATCGCGGGAAAGCCAGACAGAGCGGGCAAGGGCAGCGGCGGCAGTGGACTCGCGCTCAGCGGGCGTGGGATCAGCGGGCAGCACAGCAGGGGGGTCAGGGCAGGGGAGCATACCGTCTAGGTGTGCAGAAAGCGGGTGGCCGTTCTGCCGCTGACCAGTGAGGTGGCGGCGAAGGTCAGCCAACCACGCCTCGAACTCCAGAGGTTGACCCTCAGCATCAAAACGAATTCAGCAGCCATGAGGGGCAGTGGAGGACAGTGGAGTGCGGTGTGGTGCTGTGCAGTGCAGTGCAGGGCGGTGCAGTGCGGTGCAGTGGGATGCAGTGCGGTGCAGTGCGGTCCAGTGCGGTGCAGTGCGATGCAGTGCGGTGCAGTGCGGTCCAGTGCGGTGCAGTGCGATGCAGTGCGGTGCAGTGCGGTCAGTGCGGTTCAGTGAGGTGCAATGCGGTGCAAGGCGGGGCAGGAAAGTGCAGGAGGGTGCAAAGTGGTGCGGGGAACGGGGGACAGTACCAGGAAGTATGGAGGGCCGGGGCAGGCGCGACGGGACAGGGCAGGCGCGACGGGGCCGGGCAGGCGCGACGGGGCCGGGCAGGCACGACGAGGCCGGGCAGGCGCGACGGGGCCGGGCGGCTGCGACGGGGCTGGGCGGCAGCGACAAGGCCGGGCGGCTGCGACGGGGCCGGGCGGCAGCGACAAGGCCGGGCGGCAGCGACAAGGCCGGGCGGCAGCGACAAGGCCGGGCGGCAGCGACGAGTCCGGGCGGCAGCGACAAGGCCGGGCGGCAGCGACGGGGCCGGGCAGGACACAGCAGGGCCGGGCGGGCGTGACGGGGCCGGGCAGGTGCGACAGGGGCCGGGCAGCTGCGACAGGGGCCGGGCGGGCGCCACGGGGCCGAGAGGCCGCGACAGGGCCGAGCTGGGGCGACGGGGCCGAGCAGGGGCGACGGGGCCGAGCAGGGGCGACGGGGCCCAGGAGGGGCTCGACGGGGCCCAGGAGGGGCACGACAGGGGCCCTGGAGGGGCGTGAAGGGGGGGGGGGGGGGGGGGGGGGGGGGCCCAGGAGGGGCGCGACGGGGCCCAGGAGGAGCGCGGCAGGGCCCAGGAGGGGCGCGTAGGGGGGGGCCCAGGAGGGGCGCGACGGGGCCCAGGAGGGTGGATACGGGGCCCAGGGAGGGGCGCAATGGGGGCCCAGGAGGGGCGCTACGGGCCCAGGAGGGGCACTACGGGCCTAGGAGGGGCGCAATGGGGGCCTGGGAGGAGCGCGACGGGGCCTGGGAGGGGCGCGACGGGGCCTGGGAGGGCGTTACAGGGCCCAGGAGGGGCGCTACGAAGCCCAGGAGGGGCGCGACGAGGCCCAGGAGGGGCGCTACGGGGCCCAGGAGGGGCGCGACGGGGCGCTACGAGACCTGGGAGGAGCGCGACGGGGCCCAGGAGGGGCGCTAGTGGGCCTGGGAGGAGCGCAACGGGGCCTGGGAGGGGCGCGACGGGGCCCAGGAGGGGCGCTAGGGGGCCTGGGAGGAGCGCGACGGGGCCTGGGAGGAGCGCGACGGGGCCCAGGAGGGGCGCTAGGGGGCCTGGGAGGAGCGCGACGGGGCCTGGGAGGGGCGCGACGGGGCCTGAGAGGGCGTTACAGGGCCCAGGAGGGGCGCTACGAAGCCCAGGAGGGGCGCGACGAGGCCCAGGAGGGGCGCTACGGGGCCCAGGAGGGGCGCGACGGGGCGCTACGAGACCTGGGAGGGGCGCGACGGGGCCCAAGAGGGGCGCTAGTGGGCCTGGGAGGAGCGCGACGGGGCCTGGGAGGGGCGCGACGGGGCCCAGGAGGGGCGCGACGGGGCCTGGGAGGAGCGCGACGGGGCCCAGGAGGGGCGCTAGGGAGCATGAGCGGAAGCGGTAGGTGGGGGGGGGGGGATCCTACCTACGCGTGATACCATATCAGAATAATTGAATGAATTGAGAGAGAGAGTACACAAACATATATCTAATGTTGTACTCTCTAGAAGGTGACCCTATACAGTCTATACAAACATGATAACTACACATGTTTGACAAAGTTCCCTAGATTGTATCAAATCGAACAGCTAAAAGGTTTGTCATACATCAATTTGAGAGTATAAAAAACGCAAACAATGCACAGGAGCCGGGCTACAAGAACAAGAAGCACAAGCCAACTAGACCAATCAGAGCAGCGTCAACCACACTCCGAATTTGCAGCATTTGGTTGGGGAGGAGCAGGTGGGGATGTGCTGCTTGCGCTGCCACATGCAGCGGGCTACAAGAACAAGATGCACAAGCCAACTAGACCAATCAGAGCAGCGCCAACCACACTTCCCGCCACCGAATGGGCAGATTTCGGAGGGGGAGGAGCTGCCGGTGGGGGCGTGGTGCTTGTGCTACCACCAGGGGCAGCGCAAGGGGGCGGAACGGCAACTGATGCATCGCACGGGCTTGTACTGGCGAAGGCAGCACCCGCGAAGCAAGACGTCTGGGGGATGGAGCGAGGGGGAAGGGGGAGGGGTTGGGAGGAGTGGGAACAGGGGGGGCGAAGGGGGGGAACGAGTTACTTTCAGCGGGGTTTTAGGGGAGCGGGAGGGAAGCTAGTGATGGGGTTATGAAGTAAGATAGAGCACAGGGGCTGAGCCACACACGATCAGGGTTTTAAGAGAACAGTAGCATGTGAAGTGCTCAGGGGCATGTGAAGTGCTCAGGGGCATGTGAAGTGCTCAGGGGCATGTGCAGTGCTCAGGGGCATGTGAAGTGCTCAGGGGCATGTGAAGTGCTCAGGGGCATATGAAGTGCTCAGGGGCATGTGAACTGCTCAAGGGCATCTGAAGTGCTCAGGGGCATGTGAAGTGCTCAGGGGCATGTGAGCTGCTCAGGGGCATGTGAAGTGCTCAGGGGCATGCGAAGTGCTCAGGGGCATGTGAACTGCTCAGGGGCATATGAAGTGCTCAGGGGCATGTGAACTGCTCAGGGGCATGTGACGTGCTGAGGGCATGTGAATGCGCTGCTGATGGTGACATTGAGACAACCCTGCCACCTTGACACAATGCTGGTAACACTGTTACTCATGACACTCACAGAGTTGCTGATGGTGACATTGAGATTGGACAGCCCTGACACCTTGATAGTGTTCACCACCACAGTATCGATGAACGCCTGCCCGTCGCCTATCATTTCGCCCAGCACAAACGTGCCCACTGCAGGCAGGGAGGAGGAAAGGAGGGAAGGAAGGTTGAATGGACACGCATGTGCATGAGACACACATGTGCATGAGACACGCATGTGCATGAGACACGCATGTGCATGAGACACGCATGTGCATGAGACACGCATGTGCATGAGACACGCATGTGCATGAGACACACATGTGCATGAGACAAGCATGTGCATGAGACACGCATGTGCATGAGACAAGCATGTGCATGAGACACGCATGTGCATGAGACACGCATGTGCATGAGACACAAACGTGCAAGAGACACACAGGTGCATGAGACACATGCATGTGCATGAGACACACATGTGCATGAGACACGCATGTGCATGAGACACGCCTGTGCATGAGACACACATGTGCATGAGACACGCATGTGCATGAGACACGCATGTGCATGAGACAAGCATGTGCATGAGACACGCATGTGCATGAGACACAAACGTGCAAGAGACACACAGGTGCATGAGACACATGCATGTGCATGAGACACGCATGTGCATGAGACACGCATGTGCATGAGACACGCATGTGCATGAGACACGCATGTGCATGAGACACGCATGTGCATGAGACACGCATGTGCATGAGACACACATGTGCATGAGACACGCATGTGCATGAGACACACATGCATGTGCATGAGATGCACCCACTAGCAACGAACTGTCGGCATGCACCATTTAATAGTCTTGTGAAGCAGCTCAACCCTTGTACCCCCATGGTTTTGTTGTGTTTTGGTTTTCAGACATCTCGAAACAAAACTACTTTTGAGACGTCCCAAAGCTAAACTACTTAACCTCTTGTGCAGCAGCTAAACCCTTGTACCCTCGTGGTTTTGTTGTGTTTTGGGACGTCTCAAACTGTAGCAGCAAAACCCTTAAAACCCTCGTGGCTACGTTGAGTGTATTTCTGTGTCTCAGCAAGTGAAAGGGTGGCACAAGTTGCCAAAATCAAATGGTTTATCTCACGTTTAACGCCCTTGCAAGCATTGTAGACGCGGTTGGCAAGTTCCGGGCAGATTAACATGACTGCCCCGCCTTGCTTATCGGTCTTCACATAGCTGCCCGAATCTGCCACGTCAGCGGCACCAAAGGAAAGGGAAACAGAACGGCTATGTGAATGGGTGAGGCTGAGGCTGAGGCACCTTGACTGAATTGTGGAAATCGAAAACTGTATGAGTGCAAACATGCATACAAATCAATGTGAAGGCAATAACATGTGGCATTTACATTGCCCCAAAGATAATATCCCAATACGTGACAGTGACAGCAACGAAAATACAGCAACGGAGACAGGGGCGACAGCAACGAGCACTCACTCGGGTTGCACTTGGCAGCACAAACGATAACCTCGGCCAGATAAGGGCATTCCGGCTGGTCTCCAAATAAGCTGCACACCTGTTTAAATCAACAGAAACAGGCGGGAACGTAAGTATGCAGAAAATCAATTCATAGCACCTGTAGCACCCGTAACACCTGTAACATCTGTAGCACCCGTAGCACCTGTAGCACCTGTATGCAGGCTTAAGGATTATGCCACAATGCAATACAGGGGTGGGTGTGCTTGAGAGTATCAATGAGCACCCGCGCATGGGTGCGCATGCGGAAACGGGTGTGGGGGGGATGGGTGGGGGGAGGGGGAGCGGGGGCGGGCGAGGGGGGGAGTTATTTAGGGTTAGAAATATATTCCAAGTGCAAGGTGTTAGATGGGGAGAAAGGGGATGGGAGAGATGGGGAGGAAGGGGTGGTGCAAGGCGCGGGTGGGTGGGGGGTGGGGGGGGTGGGGCGTGGGCGCGTTGAGAGGGGGAAGGGTGGGGGAGCAAGAGCCCGGTCTACGAAAGTTGTGTCTAGTCAGTGATACTTGTGCCTGACGATCAGGGTCAACAGTTCATGGTCAACGATGGTCAACGATGGTCAACGATGGTCAAATCTAGCCCGCACGGCGGACGGCGGCACCTTCGGCACTCGTCAATCAACAAGAGTCAACGGTGTTCAACGAAATTCAACGACGGGTCAACGGCGGTCGAACCTTAACGCCCGCCTCAACGACGCCGCTAAGCGAGGGGTTGATTTGGGTCAGCAACGCGTTCAGATCCGCGTTGACCAGCGTCTGCGCGGTCGCCACGTCCACGCACTCCTCGCAGCACGACGCGCCCGCCGCCGCGGGGCACCGCAACGGCGGATTCTTCAGCGCGATCGGCGGCTGCTTCGTGAACGGGCACACCGGCGGGGGAACCGTCGTCGAGGGGGCGGAAGCCGCCAGCGGCGCGGGAGTTGCGGCAGCTGCGGAAGCGCCGGTTCCTAGTACCAGCGTTACTACGAGAAGATGGCCAAATAGTAGCATCGCCGCAAGGAGCGGCGCACGCCGCGGAAATAGCGACGCCATACTAGATTAAAATGTCGACGCGGCGCTCGCTGCAATCAGGCGGCCGCGCGGCGATCAGAACTTTACCCGAGTACACAAGGCAGAAGCTTCGGGTCTCGGAAAGCGAAAGCGTTCCGTCCGTGAAGTTCCCGCGTTCCGCAATTCTGGAGCGAGTGCTTGACCCTCGGGCCCTCGGGCTGTGCTCTAAGATCCGAGGCTAGAAAAAAATTGCCTCGGGTCTTGCGAAAAACTGACGGCTCCAGCCAGTCAGCTCTCAAATTGTATAACCAACAGTGTCGCGCAAATATACTTTCGCCAATCATAAACTCGCATATTTCTGGTGCACTCGCAAAGTTCGGCCAGTATAGTCGCAGCCCTACCCTTGCGGCCGTTAACGACAGTGTAGCCGCTGCACAGTCAAGAATATAAAACTCGCAGTTAGGTTGCGACAACCCGCGGCTCCTTCGGCCGCGGGTCAAACCAGGGTCTGACACTCACTTCTGAATATTACCTGAGACAACTTCAAGCAGGCAAAGGGCAAACGGAAACCGGAAACCAGAAGTCCGAAAACGTTCAGTGACGAGCCTGCGGTTCGTCGGGGGAAAACAGGACTGAAGCGCCAACGACGTCTGTCTCCTACAGTGACACCTACGTGTCTCGGCATCAGTCACGTCTCGGATCACTCACAAAAGCTTCCCGCATCACTTCTGCTTTTAGCAAGGGCAACCGCACCCCCGTTTCTACAACATGGCCGGCACTGTTCTCAGAGAAGACAACGGCAACAGTCGAAATTGCCAGCCATGACAGCATGTCATATTTCGTCCGCCGGGTATTTGGGAAACTACAAATTCAGAAACTACAAATTTAGCCCCCAGGTATTCTCAAAAGTACAAATTCAGCCCCCCGTCGCAATCTGCGTATGCCAAAGCGGTAACATTCCAACACACATACAATCCCATTCTCCCCGTGAGGAGGTGCGCGAAGTGTCGGGAACGCTTTCAGTCCCAGCCGCCCAAAAACATGGAATGCCTGACTCGGGCAACAAGGGTATGTCAAGTTTGAAAGCCCAAAAAAACAAAACATGAATGCAGCGTGACTATGGCGGTGGTGGGTGGCTAGTCTACGAGGCTCTTCTGTACTGCAGTAGCAAGATGCAACGTGTCTACAGTGGTTGGTCCCGGTTATGGTTCACCCTAAACGTCGTTATGGTCAAATGTTTTGGGCAGGGCAGTTGCGTTTGTCCTTCGAAAAAATTGACTATACAGGTCAGCCGCGACTAGCGCAACGACCCCTAAGGCAAATATTCGCACCGGGCAACTACCGTATTCCTCCGTATAAAAACACCCGCCGGAATTAAGCTCCCCTAGGTAGCTTGAGCGGGTATGGCGGCCCATTTTTTCTGGATATCCACAACACCTACTCTCGGACGTGAAATTTTTTGAACACCCCCCTGCCACCTAGAATCTCCATTTTTAGCTGGAAACACCAGAATTTTGTGGTGCGGAGATGCGTGCTGCTATTCATTTGCATAGAAACCCTATAAAATCGGCTTCACATTTCCGAGCATTGATATGAACAGTAACATTTTTATGAATTTAGTTAAAGCGTGTGACCCAAGTAAGACCAAGACTCAGAGTCTTTGATTCTTGGTCCCGCTTGCCAACTTCGCGAGGTGGGGGCGAAAAGACGGGCGACAGGGAGGTTGGGCGAAGGGAGGGACTTGGGTTGGCGACACTCGGCGACAATAAAAAAAGCGTTCAGTTTTGAGTGTGTGAAGGGGGGTGTTCAAACCAAACATAACAAATCACAAATACTGAAGCCGCGCCGCCATGCAAAATAGCCCTACGAAAAGGACCAGCCATGCAAGCCATAACACCCCAAACGACACCAAACACGCAACCAAAGGGCTCGGAAAATTACATAGGTCGACGAGGGGGCAACCCACGATGTGCGCCCAAATCCGCGGGGTGATTGTGTCCCGCGCAGCTCAGCCCGTGACAGTTATCTATTTGAAACCTATTTATTGTATGGTAACCGCCCTCCCTACACACCCTTTGGCACCGGCCCTGTTGCCGGTTATTCTCTTAAAGTCCCTTGCATTCCGAGTACTCATTTGTGTATGAAGTTGTTGAACTAAGCTAGTAGCACGCAAAGACTATACAACAAAGCATGTCTTCTTGAAATCTCACAACACCACATGCACAGAACAACAACGGATGTACCGGTATGGCCGAGGACCAGAGTAGCAGACATGCCATTGAAATAAAAGCACATTTTCTCTCACAGCGCCACCACAACCCACACTGTAGGGGGAGATGTGAGCACAATGAGAGGGGGAGCAGAGGGCAATGAGAGGGCGAGCAGAGGGCAATGAGAGGGAGAGGAGGACAGGGGGAAAGGGAGATGAGGATAGGGGGAAGGGGAGAGGAGTACAGGGGGAAAGGGAGATGAGGAGAGGGGGAAAGAGAGGGGAGGACAGGGTGAAAGGGAGAGGCAGATAGGGGGAAAGGGATAAGAGGCTAGGGGGAAAGGGAGAGGAGGACAGGGAGAAAGGGAGAGGAGGATAGGGGGAAAGGGAGATGAGGACAGGGGGAAAGGGAGATGAGGACACGGGGAAAGGGAGAGGCGGATAGGGGGAAAGGGAGAGGAGGGTAAAGGGAAAGGGAGAGGAGGACAGGGGGGGAGGGAGAGGAGGACAAGGGGAAAGGGAGAGGAGGGCAAGGGGAAAGGGAGAGGAGGACAGGGGGAAAGGGAGAGAAGGATAGGGGGAAAGGGAGAGGAGGACAAGGGGAAAGGGAGAGGAGGACAAGGGGAAAAGGAGAGGAGGACAGGGGGAAAGGGAGAGGAGGATAGGGGGAAAGGGAGAGGAGGACAGGGGGAAAGGGAGAGGAGGATAGGGGGAAAGGGAGAGGAGGACAAGGGGAAAGGGAGAGGAGGACAAGGGGAAAGGGAGAGGAGGATAGCGGGAAAGGGAGAGGAGGACAGCGGGAAAGGGAGAGGAGGACAGGGGGAAAGGGAGAGGAGGACAGGGGGAAAGAGAGAGGCGGACAGGGGGAAGGGAGAGGCGGACAGGGGGGAAGGGAGAGGCGGACAGGGGGAAAGGGAGAGGAGGACAGGGGGAAAGGGAGAGGCAAACAAGGGGAAAGGGAGAGGAGGATAGGGGGAAGGTGAGAGGAGGACAGGGGAAAAGGGAGAGGAGGATAGGGGGAAAGGGAGAGGAGGACAGGGGGAAAGGGAGAGGAGGACAGGGGGAAAGGGAGAGGAGGACAGGGGAAAAGGGAGAGGCGGACAGGGGGAAAGGGAGAGGCGGACAGGGGGGAAGGGAGAGGCGGACAGGGGGGAAGGGAGAGGCGGACAGGGGGAAAGGGAGAGGCGGACAAGGGGAAAGGGAGAGGAGGACAGGGGGAAGGGAGAGGAGGACAGGGGAAAAGGGAGAGGAGGACAGTGGGGAAAGGGAGAGGAGTATAGGGGGGAAGGGAGAGGAGGATTGGGGGAAAGGGAGAGGAGGATTGGGGGAAAGGAAGTGGAGGAGAACAAGAGGGAACTCTAAGGAGGCTGGGGAAAAGGAAGGGGGAGCAGAGGGGAAAGGAAGGGAAAGAGAGGGGGCGTAGAGGGGAAAGAGAGGGGGAGCAAAGGGGAATGAGAGGGGAAGCTGAAGGGAATGAGAAGGGAAACTGGGGGGAAGGAGGCGGGAAACTGGGGGGAAGGAGGCGGGAAACTGGGGGGAAGGAGGCAGGAAACTGGGGGGAAGGAGGCAGGAAATTGTGGGGAAGGAGGCGGGAAACTGGGGGGAAGGAGAGGCGGTGGAAACAAAGAAAAAATGAGGGGATAATGGAGTGGAGGATATGAGGAAGAGCGGGGGAAACATAGACGAAGGGAGGTGAAAGGGAGAGGAGGAGATGCAAAAACAAAGAGGGGAAGAGGGGAAAACGTGGAGGAGAAGAGAGAGATGGAGCTGGGGGGGAAAAGATGGGGGGGGTGTGGGAAACGAGGGGGAGTTGAAGGGAAGGAGAGGAGGAACTGAGGCGAATGAGAGGGGGGAACTGAGGAGGGGAAAACGGGTGTAGGCAGCGTGGGGAAGAGAGGAGGAAACATGAAGGAGGAGAGCGTGATACGGAGGGGAGGAGATGGAGGGAGCATATCCTTGTTTTCTTCGTGGCAAATTCATGCACATTGAGCCCCCTGCGTATCTCTCGCCTAGCCATCACATATCTAGTCGCCTCGCGACGAGGGGAAACGAGAAGCGCGACGAGGAGCAGGGAGAAGCGCGACGAGGAGGAGGGAGAAGCGCGACGAGGAGGAGGGAGAAGCGCGACGAGAGGGCCGCATTCCCCGCGAAAGGGGGGTAGGTAGAAGGACGCCGTTGGGAAGGTCGACCCGGGGGAGGGCTGCGTTTGCAAGGATGGGAAGGAAGAATAGCGACGAGGTGGACGGGAGACGGGTGTCGAAGGGAAGGGCTGCATGTGCAACGAAAAGGACAGAGGAGGTTGACGAGGGGGAAGGGACTTGGGCGACTTGGGGGGATGGGAGATGGACCTTCGAGGTGAATCCTCGCTGAGTGGCAAGGGGCAAGGCCTCGGCGTTAGTGCTCGAAAATGCCTCGGCGCTTGTGTGCTAGTGAGAGATCCATACGTGCAGCGGTATGCGATGCTAATAAGGAAAAAAATGAGACAGCATGGGCTGTTAAACATGAGTTAGCTCGTCTTTCTCCTAAGCTACGGCCGCCACGGTCATGAGTCCCAAATAAGTCCTACGCACTTTGAGTCTTGATCCACCCTCGCGTCGTTGCTGGTTGCAGGTGCGACGCTTGCAGTCGCACCCCCGCTGTGATTGGGGACTCGACCAATCAGTTCTCGTCGATCAAGGTATACCTCTCGTCGCTGGGTTTCAGGGTAACCTTGTGTACTCAGGTTGGGTTTCGCGAGCGGCCAAGAATCAAAGACTTTGAGTCTTGATTCTTCTTGGACCACGCGCTTTAACTGTTCGGTGAACTCCAAAATATGAATCCAAATGTTTGAAGTGCTCCATCGCGTCCATAAATACAGTGGACGGAACAATCAGACCACATGACACATTTCAGCAAAATTTTATGTACACTGAGGGAAAAAACCGTCCGGATGTTTGGCACGAAGTTGGGTTTTTAGGCTTTAAGACTACTGTATGGTA